AAAAAAACCTTTTGAAGAGAGGGTGGGGTGGGTTGGTGAGGGTGGGGAAGGTTAAGAAAGAGTTTTGGAAAATGTTTTCCTTGATAAGGAAAACATCATTTAATGAGTTAATGAGGAAAATGTTTTCCAAAACATTTAAGCCAACCAAACATGAGAAAATTGGAAAGCATTTTTCGGAAAATATTTTCCTTCGTACCAAACACATCCAAGTGTATTTTTCTCAAAAGTGCTTCTCAAAAAAGTGTTTTTGGAGAGAAGCTACTTTTTTCTGCTTCTCCAAAACTGCTTCTATTTCTCCTCAAAACACTTTTTTCCTTCCAAAAGCTTGGCCAAACACCTCAATTTTTGGCCAAAAGCCAAATAGGCTATTATAGTAGCACGCGTATATGTCCATTCGTATATGGAACTCTCATTTGTACGAATCAATAAATATCAATCGCGAAGGGATCTTTGGTGTAACTAGTAAAGTTATTGCTATATGATCAGAGTTCACGAGTTCGAGCCTTGAAAATAACTTTTTGCAGAAGTGCAGGGTAAGACTGTGCATAATAGATTTTTATGGTCGAGCCTTTCCCCGGACTCAGCGCATAATGGTGTTTAGTATACCGAGCTGCCCAATAAATATCAATCGAAGGGATCTTTGGTGTAACTAGTAAAGTTATTGCTATATGACCAGAGTTTATGAGTTCGAGCCTTGAAAATAACCTCTTGCAGAAATACAGGGCAATACTGTGCATAATAGACTCTTGCGATCGAGCCTTTCTCCGGACTCCGCACATAATGGTATTTAATGTACCGGACTGCCCAATAAATATCAATCACGTCGTTTTTGGCCACATATCACACAATAAAAACACAATCGCGAAAAGACATGAGGCTAGAGGCTCAAGAATCATACACTTCTCTTATCTTCACATCTCCCACCCTTCAAATCTCCTCCACCCAATCCTTTAATCCACTAGATACCCTCTCTAAAAAGATCCCAACTCCCCTTCTCCTTATTTTTCCTTCTTCACCATTACCTTATTATCAATTCCCTCCTCTTAATTTTTTATTCCATTTTTTATTATCTCAAACATGGCTGCTGCAGTAAGTGCTGCAGTTTCTCTTCCATCATCCAAGTCTACCTCTTTTGCCACCAGAACCTCCATCATCTCCCCAGAAAAGATCAACTTCAACAAGGTAAAATTCAACTTATTTTCAGGTAATTCTTTTTCTTAGAAATTGTTATATATTGACCATGGATTTATTCTTGGTTTGTGACAGGTGCCGTTGTACTACAGAAATGTGTCAGCTGGTAGCAGAGTGGTTTCAATCAGAGCCCAGGTGACAACAGAGGCTCCTGCTAAAGTTGAGAAGATTTCAAAGAAACAGGATGAGGGTGTAGTTGTGAACAAGTTCAGGCCAAAGGAACCTTACATTGGTAGATGTCTACTCAACACTAAGATCACTGGTGATGATGCTCCTGGTGAAACTTGGCACATGGTCTTCAGCACTGAGGGTATGGCCTTAATCAAATACGATCTTCTTTTTTCTTCCTTTTAGTTAAGTTTGTTGGAGCTGAAGTACTTTTGTTGGATTTATCAGGAGAGGTCCCATACAGAGAAGGACAATCCATTGGTGTGATTGCTGATGGTGTTGATGCCAATGGGAAGCCTCACAAACTCAGATTGTACTCCATTGCTAGCAGTGCCCTTGGTGACTTCGGCGACTCCAAAACCGTAAGTTTTCAATTCCTATAAAGAGCAGCCCGGTGCACTAATAAGCTCTCGCTATGTCTGGGGTCCGGGGAAGGACCGGACCAAGGTCTTACCCTCTATATCCGCAAGAGGCTGCTTGAACGCTTCAAGCCTCCTGGTCACATGACAACAACTTAACCAGTTATCAGTGTATTACAGTTCAGTCTTAACAGATCAATAAACATGTCTAGAGTGTGATTAATATTGGCAATCATCATTTCTACCAACAACTATAGGTCATACATTACACAAATGTAAGTGTCTGAACTTGAGGTTTCATACAGGTTTCTCTGTGTGTCAAAAGGCTTATCTACACCAATGACAAAGGGGAAGAAGTTAAAGGAGTTTGCTCAAACTTCTTATGTAAGAATCAACGACTCCCTAATTTCTTAGACGATGTCACTGTTTATCTGTTTTATTTTAGCTATCCATTACAGATTGGATTAAGAGTGACTGTTCCTAATGTACAGTAGGAGTATCAAGGTTTGGCCTTGCTTACTTGTGTAACTTCAAATGTTTCATATTTCAGGTGACTTGAAGCCTGGAGCAGAAGTCAAGATTACTGGACCTGTTGGGAAAGAAATGCTCATGCCTAAGGATCCAAATGCCACCGTTGTTATGGTGAATTTTTATTTAACTACTTTATTATCATCTAAGTCATTTCTTCTGCCTTTTAGTTAACTATGCATTTTTTGCTAATTGGAATTTGTCAATCAGCTTGCAACTGGAACTGGAATTGCTCCTTTCCGTTCATTCTTGTGGAAAATGTTCTTTGAGAAACATGAGGATTACAAGGTACACAAAATAACCATTTGTTTGATTGTTTCTCTTCATTTTTAGTTGTTTGGCTTCAGCACACTGCACATGCTAGTGAAAAGAAAAGAACTAAAAGATGAAAATGCCTGGCCATAGGCAACAACTGTTTCTTGTATGAACTAAAACTCAAGCCTCAAGGAGTTTGGCGTCCAATATTATGAACCATCAAAGTGTTCTATCTAATGAAGTCAAGTTAAGCACAAAAGTTAGAGTTGTAGAATCTTCAAAATAGTGAACTATTAAGTGCTATTTGAGCCAAAGATGACTGACGTTAAACACTTAAATAGCCAACATCAGTTTATTGCAAGGCTTTGAACTACAGAAACAGCTTACGATAGAATATCATTTTAGTATATGACTTGATTTCAATGTCATTCTCTCTTTCTCACTACTCAATTGAATGATATGGATTTGCTATCGTACAGTTCAACGGTTTGGCATGGCTTTTCTTGGGCGTTCCCACCAGCAGCTCACTACTTTACAAGGAGGTAAATATCAACCTTACTCAGTGATTCTTGATTCTCCACTGTGCACTTTACTGATTAAGATTTTTAACTATGGAAATTTTCTTGATGTTGTATTGTAGGAATTCGAGAAAATGAAGGAGAAGGCCCCGGAAAACTTTAGACTGGACTTTGCAGTGAGCAGAGAGCAAACAAACGAAAAAGGCGAAAAGATGTACATCCAAACCAGAATGGCACAATATGCAGAAGAACTATGGGGTCTGCTACAGAAAGACAACACCTTTGTCTACATGTGTGGACTCAAGGGCATGGAGTCCGGAATTGATGACATTATGACTTCACTTGCTGCTAGAGATGGTAAACATATGTCCAAACTATGTCGTCATTTTTTTCCGCGCACACACACACTGATAAAATATTAAAATCCTTAATCATTTTTATTCACTATAAATATCAATCTGAGGCTTACATTTTGCTGTGCTATTGAAGGTATTGTATGGGCGGACTACAAGAAGCAATTGAAGAAGGCAGAGCAATGGAATGTGGAAGTCTATTAAATATTTTTTACTTTCCTTTGTACAAATATGAGCCAACTTTATGCTTCTCTCCCCTGCATTGTAGATAGGTAAATTTTTCCTTTGAAATTTATTTTTATATTTTTTTTGGATTTTCCCTTTTCTGAAATTTCAACTTTAAATGAATCAGTGTATTGGCATTGGCCCTCTAAAAGTTGTATTTTGAGGGGCATGGATCAATAACATATAGCTGAATCAATCTCAATCGCAGTCTCTTTATCTCTACTTGTCTCTGCTTTCTGATTACACGGGATAAGCATATGATGCCTATTCAATTGACTAGTTCCTTTATGTGTTTTCATTTATTTTTTTTATTTTTTCTAATCTTAATCGTTATGCGAACATTTTGCAATATAGATCCTTCTCCGCACACACTAACCAAAAAAAAAAAAAAAAAAAAACGATAGAGAAAGGCAAGACTCTTGGTTGTGTTTTGATAAGAAATTAAAGGAGAAAACAGCAGATACTTAGAACAAAAACCAAATCCCATAAGAATTAGTCAGAGGCTTTAACAGTTTGAGGAAAGAAATTTAACTTAGTGAGCTATGATTTCTATTTAGTAATATATATTATGACCAAAAACATTAATATTTTCCTGTTATTAGCCAGCCAAAGTAGATTGATACTGAGTTTAAATCTTTCAAACCTGTTGGGATACACATAAACGAAAGAAAGATTCATAATGCTAATCCACACTACAACTATATTTGCTTTAAATTTGTTTTAAATGAACTCGAAGACGTATCTTATCTATTTTACTTTTCTTCTGGGGCGTTTTGTTTAAAAATAAAAAATGTAATAAGTGGTAGGCACATATAATTTCTCTAAGAAAGAAATTCAAAATACAAGATAAATAAATTCTAGAATACAAATTTTACAACGTAAACTCTTGGTCTTACCATATTTATTGGATTGGATAAATATGCAACAAATTTACAACCAAACCCAACAAAAATCAGGAACCGAAAAGCCCTAACGCAAACGCCCCCCTTAAAACGCTTTAAGGCGCCGAAACTCTATTTAGGGTTTCCCCTTTAGCTATAAGAATCTCTCGGTAGAATTAGATATTTTTCAAGGATTTGCCATCGGTTAACAATGGCGGTGGAGACGTCGAGAATGACAGGTGTTGTGTCCAAGTTCAACAACCAAAAAGGCTATGGATTCATCAAGCCTGATGATGGATCCGAGGATCTATTCGTTCATCAATCTGAGATCAAATCCGACGGCTACCGTTCTCTCTACGAAGGCCAGAAAGTGGAGTTCACCATGACTGTGAAGGGTGATAAGTATCAGGCTAATGATGTCACTGGTCCTGATGGTGCTCCTCTCGATAGTGACCGTAACAATACCCGTGGTGGTTACGGCTATGGCGGTAACGGTTATCGCAGGAACGGCGGTGGTGACGGTGGATATCGTAGTGGCGGTGGTGAGTGTTATACTTGTGGGAGGACGGGACATTTAGCTAGGGATTGTGATCGTAGCAGTGGAGGCGGTGGTGGCGGCGGCAGAGGCGGCGGGTGTTATAACTGTGGTGCGACTGGGCATTTAGCTCGGGATTGTGACCGTGCCAGTGGTGGTGGTGGTGATGGTTATCGGAGGAGTGGCAATGATGGTTGTTACACTTGTGGCGGGTATGGCCACATGGCTCGAGACTGCCCAAGTAGTGGACGTCTTGGTGGTGGTGGTGGAGGAGGTAGTGGGGCTTGTTACACATGTGGTGCACAAGGACACATGGCAAGAGACTGTCCCCGTGAGGGTGGGGTTGGTGGCGCTAGTTATGGGAGATATGGTGGTGGTGGTGGTAGTGGACGAGGAAGCAAGTGTTACAACTGTGGAGAGGCGGGGCACTTTGCTAGGGAATGCACTAGCCAATCCGTCAACTGATCATGTACATGATCTTCCCCTTTTTGTTATCAGTCCTCGTAATATTCCATTTTTGTTAGCATTGGACATGTTTTTACCCAGTTGTTATTTTGTTAGCTATATGACTGGATGTTCTTTTAGAATTATGTTTCTCGGATGCATACTTTTGGTTAGTAGTTGATATACAAGTATATAAAATGCTGGATGTTCAGTTTTTGCACTTTAAGCAAATCTTTTATGCTCATCATAATTATGTATATGTATCTGTTGTGCAATTTTAATGCACTATATACAATACACACACACATTTACAGAAAAACTTGAGAACCCACATAATGCATGAAGCTGATAAACTTGTGCGGTTTCAATTGTGAGCTTGATAGTAAGCATGTCCTATGATATGCAGTCTATTTGGGAATCGTTGTGATTTCTGCCTGTGTTTATAATTCTATTTTGTATTTGTTTGTTGGGAATCATTGATGGTCCTCTCAGCAAAATATTCAAACTAATGCTTTCTGTTTAAAGTTTGTTTGAACTATACCTGTTTGTTGGAATATGCTGGGATACATTAGCAGGTTAATAGTAGGTAATTAAAGAATTTCTAGTTCTCTCGTAAAGAAGTATTCCCAAACTATCTCTTCTAAGATTTTGTAAAACTAATTTCCAAATTAGCATCATCTTTAATCTAGCAAAAAGGTGCTCTTGATCTTTTCCTTTTATAAAAAGAATCTTATCTTTAAACAATTAATCTAGCAAAACTTTCCTAAGTTTAACAGTTCTATTTAAGCAGGAATTTGGATCGTTTTGCAAAAATTAGTTTTCCTTTTTACTTTTTTTAAAAAGAAGATGCAACAACCCACAAGTCTGTCTTCCCTTCCTTTGCAGTAGACTCTATTTCCAAACACCTCTCTGTCTCCCCTTCCTTTGCAGTTCCAATCTCTTTTACACTGACTCATTTCACCTATTCAACACCCTCTACCTAGCCATAATTTGCACTATTCAGACACTTTAGTTATTATCGTTAGCTACTCCAACTTTAAGTGCACCCTAGTTTATTGGAATTTAGAAAATTTTCATGTTATTGCCATTCTACTTTTGGGAAAAAATTGAATTGTTGAACAAATAAAAAGTATAAGGGATTGAAATAGAAGGACGAGGTAATATGGAAATAGCATAGCTAAGAATGACTTATTGGCAAGGCAGCCGGTGTACAAAGATTTGGGCGACATGGGGTAGTAGGTAGAGCATGAGGCAATTGGTTGGGAAGGGAACCCTTGAGGTCTTTGGGAATTCTGAGAACTCACCTATGGAAATTTGAAGTGTCCTTTTTCTTGTGATTCTATTTTAATTTATTTTGTTGGTGACATTATAGTGTCAGTTGACGTATAAGTTTGGGAATCAAATTCTGAAGAGTGGCTGGATAAGTTTTTGCGAATATTTGTTTTGAAATAACATTTAATCTTAACTAGCTTGAGATTGAGTAGTAGTTGATTGACTGAGTAGTTTCCGGAGGAACACTTGATATGTAAATATTGTCCCCCTTTAGACTTTTTTAATACGGTCATATGGTGAATTGTACTTGAAAAAGTGGGAGTTACATGACCCCTGGTCGGGATGTTTGGTTGAGATTTAGGCCATTGCTATCTTTTTTTATTGTTATGGCCTTTGTATTATTTACATTTAGTTGTGCTACTGAGCTGAGACCCCAACTTGTGATTTCATGTACGTTCATTTTATTATTGAATCTTTGCCATAGCTCTCTAGTCATGGCAGACCTTGTGGTTTCAAGTACATTCTTTTTATTGTTGAATCTTTACCATAGCTCTCTAGTCATATTGTAGGGATCATGAGAGACAAAAGACAATTCATCCTAATAATCTCTTCTTTTTCCAAATAGCTCATTAGGTTGGTTTTACTTTATTTTACTTTCTCATATCATATGAAAAGGATGGTGGTTCAAGGACTAATGTAGACTTGAATGATGTTTTTTAGTGAAAGAAATCTCATGATCTTTGGCTGTTGATATTATGGAGTCAGTAGTTCTGTTTTCAGAGAACAAGGAATGAGGTAATGGGGCTTAGAGTTCGAGCACATCATGTCTTGAGTCCATGGAGGACTACATTGTACTTTATGCTGTACCCTCGGTCTGATCTGTCCGTGTGTCTCTCTGGGACATAATGACTATGACCTTTTCTGGTAATAAATGGCTATCTGGGAATATTAGTTAGTCTAGTATTTATGATGATTTAAGCATGCAATTCGAATTTTCAACTGAGCTGTTGAATTTTGCTAGTGGGTTAGTGGGAGTTAGAAGTTGGGATAGCGAGTTAGAAATCATATAGTTTTAGTTAATAGAACTTATCAGGGTTCTTTCAGCCAAGTTTTGAAACTTTGCAGGACAAACAGCGAGCTAAAATCTGGTCTAATGCCAACATAAAATGAAGTACCAATCTCGCAAATCTACTCCCATAAAATTCCCAGTGGAAAATGTTAAACGACTTCTCTTCCTCCACGGTGATAGTCTATCTAATCCCTGTCTTGAGGAAATTCAAAGAACCTTTGTGTTCTGGCTAAACTCCCCTAATTTCCTCTCAGCTTTCTACTCCTATGTGACAGCTTTTCCTGTTGACTTTATTTTAACCAAGTTTTGCTCCTCATTGTGGAGCCGGCTGACAAGTTAGATCCTGGAACCCTCATATTATTACGTGAAGTGTAAATTGTATTTGACTTTTTTCCCCCAAATAAACACCTAGCTCCAAACTAGGATGAATAGGTGCCATACTTCATTAAGACAAAAACTAGGAAACTTCTGCAACTAGCAAGAAGCACCTTCATCTCTTTACTCTAATATGATGAGATACCCTACTTATCAGAGTTTAAAATTGACTTAGCTTGTATGGGAAGAGGTGAATATGTGTACAATGTCTGCTGTGAGTGGCGTTGAGCTGTTAAGTGGACTGATTTATATTACTGGGTCTGTTGAGCATCTGAATGTTTGAACGTTTCAAATGGATATACTCTAAATGGTTAAAGATTCAGAAGAGTAGAAAGAGTAAAGATTACCCTGATCATGACTTTTACATGAATAACTAAAATGAGCAGAAGGTTAAGAAAAACTTGGATTGTTCTAGTCGAGCAGTTATTGTTGCTTAAGCAGAACTTTATGATAGTTTCTCTAGATTCAAATACTGGAGGAGAGCTGAAGCTGAAACTTCTTACACGTTAGTATTTCATTCTTTTACTGAACGTCTCCACAGACGTTAGGGGCTAATATTGGAAAGCCCAATCCAGCAAACGATCTAAATTAGTCCGCTTATTAGGATAATCTATTAGTTTTTCTAGTCATAAGAAAAACAGACGAGGATTCAAATAAGAACAAAAACACCCCAGTGTAATCCCACAAGCGGGTCTGGGGAGGGTAGGGTGTATACAGACTTTACCTTTACTAAGATAGAGAGGTTGGTTCCAATAGACCATCGAGTTCAAGAAAAGCCTAGTATATGTAAGGCTTTTTTCTATTCTATCACTTGTGTCGTTTTATTGATTTTTAAGTTTCTTACAGTAATATAATTTTCTATTATTAACTTTAACATCATGCAAACTCGCACTGTATTAAGATGCGGCATAGCCGAGGAGCTTGCGCCATCAATTTAAAGAGAGCTTAATGGAATATTGACTGTAACAGTGTATCATAGCAAATGCTTAATGAATAATGGTAAAACTTTCCATTGAATGGTTTCTATTGATTATTCCTTGGAAAATGTGACGCAACTCTTGTTGTGTGTTAATAGCCAGTCTCCTTTCCTTTGCATCGTACCCAAAAATTAACCCATACTGGCAGGAGGAATCAGAATCACATGTGGTCGTCTTCGATAATTTTTTTATTAAAAAAATAATTACAGCTTTTAGTAGTTAACCCCTACAATAAACTGCCTATAGTTAGGGTAAGCAACTCGATTACTACTTTGCCGTTTTCTTTTTGGATTATATGCATACTTTGCAAGGCAGACACATCTTTTTTTTAGATTTACTTCATCTTTTGAAGTTGATTTTTTTTCCTGCGACCGTGAAAAGCTTGAGTAATTTCTTGGATATTAATATTTTATTCTCTATAATATCAGGTTTTCGCATATTTAGAAGTGGGTTTTTTATTTAATAATATAATCATTAGATTATTTGTCTAAACTACATTTTATCTTTTCCTTAAATATCTCATTTAGTTATAATTCATTAATTGAAATAATTAGAACTTTTAGGGGAAAAAGTATTACTACTAAATAACTTCTTAATTTTTCAAAACTTCAATATTTTGCAACGTTTTCGATTTATCATAATGGCTAATATAGCGAACAGAAGAGTATATCAACCAACAACCAAAGGCAGAGCGACCTCATATACTTCTTCGCCGAAAAGTTACAACATTTAGCTCTCCTTCGCCGAAAAGTTATAATATTTGGCTTGGTCAAAAATTTTATTTTATGCATACAATATAATTTAACTCCCTTAATTTTCTTTCTGTATTTATTTTTTTGACAGCTCTTAAGTAAAATATCTGGTTCGACCACGGCCAACAACCATCTTCCCCATTTCGATTGCACTACGACAGTTTCATTTTCTGTCAACACCTATTACTACTACTAATGTATCTCACTTGTTTTTCTTTTCTTTTATATTTCAAACAATTTGATACTCCCTCTCATAATGAGCATGACGGCACCAAATTTTGCAAAATCTGCGGTTTGTAACTTGGAAGCTGCTGAATTGGGTTTAAATGAGCCGATCTCTTGGTTTTCCCTTTTGTTCTAGCCATGAAGGGAGCCCCAGGACTATATGCCATCAATATTAATTGATTAGTAAAGAATTAGAGAAAATAAAAATATAATTACGTGTTAATTTGTGTTTGCGGCTGAGGTTCAGTTCACTGGTTTCAACTTGCCACTGTCAAGAATCTACGCAATTTTGACCTTTTCATAGAGATGGGTCCCGCAAGTGATGAACCAACTGTCATTGGGCCTTATTGCCATTTGCAAGGGGGTCCCATACCTATCTTCCCAAGGCCCATAGGGCCGTTGAATTTAACCGTCATTAACTCCCGCCTTTCGGGAAGTGCACGGTAAGCCACTAATAACACATACATTTACTTTTAAGCTATTATTTAAAATATTTTTAGTCTTTAGCTATTGCTTTAATAAATTTTACCTGCCCGGACGAAAACACCCTTCTGCTCATAAAGTTCAGGACCAAGTATCCTTAACTTTTGAACTTGCAACTCTAAGTTCAAGACTTCGAGACTACTTGTCCTTAACTTTTTAACTTGCAACTCGAAGTTCAGGACCACCTGTTCTTAATTTCTGTACTTGTAACTCTAAGTTAAGAGCTACTTGTCCTTAACTTTTGAACTTGTAAGTCTAAGTTCAGGACCAATTGTCCTTAACTTTTGAACTTGTAAGTCTAAGTTCAGGACCAAGTGTCCTTAACTTGTGAGCTTGTTAGTCTAAGTTCAGGACCTATTGTCCTTAACTTTTGGGTTTCTTAGCCTAAGTTCAGGACCTATTATCCTTAACTTTTGAGCTTGTTAATCTAAGTTCAGGACTTTAGGACCTATTATCCTTAACTTTTGAGCTTGTTAGTCTAAGTTCAGGATCAAGTCTCCTTAACTTTTGAACTTAAAACTCGAAGTTCTGGACCAAGTTATAAAAAGAATAGAGACAAGAATTTGCAAGTTAGTTAGATTCTAGAAAAATTAAAATTAATTTTGTAAGCTAAGTACAATTTAAAATTTTCAGAAAGGAGAACAATAAATCTGAAGAAACAAAGTCAAAAGATTCAATCGCAGCTTGAAATTGCAAATGGGCTAAACTAGATGGCCGACCGGCCATTGGGCTGTATTTTCCCAAATTAGCTCTGGGAAAAGCACAAACGGTTCTGGGTACCTACTTATGTCTTCCACGGCAGTCTCCGTCTCACCGGCGGCATAGTTCTTCTCGCTAACACGAAAAAAATAGAAGAGAGGGTAATACAATTTTTTAATATTAATTTTAATATACTAATGGCTATTATTGCTAAGCATTGAAATATTGAATAAAATATAAATACCACTTACCCACGCAATTTTTACCCGCCCTTCCCCTCGCCAAAGTTACTTTATCTTTTTTTTCCCTCTGGTAATTTTAGATACAGTAATTAGAGGCATCTCTCCTTAAATCGCATTCTATTTAAATCCTCCCGCAACCCCGCCTAAGCATTACTCCCAAAGCTTTAAACTAATCCTGAAACTTACGAATTTTAGCTCTTCCAATCCCAAAGCTCTCTTCTCTTAATTTCTAATTAAGCCATTTTAACCTGATCCGACACAGTTGCCGACCTTATACTGTGGCGGTGTTCTGTTCCCCCTCCAACGTCGGTCCAAAAAATTTCTATAAATAACTTAGTCCGACCACGTGATCCTTCTGACATTCATTTCAGTACTCCACATTGCCAAACTTCTTCATTTCTCATTCTCTTCAAACAACTTAGTGAAAACAGAGAAACGTTACAATGGCGAAACCTCAAGTTTTTCTTGCCCTGTTCTGTTTATGTTCCGTATTCCTTGTTTCTGGTAAGTTTTTGGTTCTGGTATTCTTGTTATTTACATTTTTGTGGTAAAGTTTAGAGCTTTGTTATTCATTTTTGTTGGTTTAATGAAACAGGGGTGTTATCAGCAACATTTACATTAGTAAACCAGTGCAGTTATACAGTATGGCCGGGGATATTATCAGGTGCAGGAACAACCCAGCTTTCTCCTACTGGACTTCAGCTAAATCCAGGACAGGCCATTCCTATTTCTGTTCCAGCGGGTTGGTCGGGTCGTTTATGGGGTCGGACTTTTTGCTCCCAAGATTCTACTACGGGTAAATTCACTTGCGTGACAGGTGATTGTGGCTCCGAAACACTTGAGTGCACCGGCGGAGCTGCACCGCCGGCGACTCTAGCAGAGTTCACTCTCAACGGCGCCGGTGGCCTTGATTTCTATGACGTTAGCCTTGTGGATGGTTATAACTTGCCTATGTTAGTGAGCCCACAAGGTGG